AAATCTTGAAATCTTGAAAGGGATGTGCAAAATAGTCATTATATACAGTCTTTAATTAACTATTAGTAGAGAATAACGAGTAATGAATATACTTTATAGGGATCCTATTAATATCTAATAATAAAAAATAATGAAATTCAATAACATGCTTTAACCACTAGGTGTCCCTTTATATCAGCTGTGCACCTTTATGGTGTAAATACAGCCTATCTACCAATTGGATCAAATATAGAAGTCAGCCGAATTAGTGTTGATACTGCAAGGAGACGTATTGTGTGAAAAGAAATGTAAGATGTTGTTTAATGGCTGATATATTTATGATCCACGTCACGTTTTCAGTTCCTCATGTTTGTCTAGAAGTCTTCTCATCAGGGCTCTATAAATACAGAACTACGGCAGATATGTAATATTTAATGCAGCCGAACCGTGTATTACAATGCCGTTATGTGATGACTTTCAAAGAGAAAAGCAAGCACACTCGGAATAAAGTATATATATATTTTTTAAAAAATGTTTTCGGTCTGTTTCCGGTATTTGTTAATGACGATGTGCTGTGAGATGTGAGACTGGAATTGCACAGGGGAAAATAACGTATCTTTAGATGCGGATTTTGTTAAACTAATACGTTTGCGCTGTGGACCAACACTATACATTGACGGGGAAGGGGGTAGCAATAAAGATAACACCATTAAACAGTTACACAACATAACATAAATAATATCGATAGCAGCGTCCCTAGCAACCACCTTGGTAAAAATGAAAACGTTCTATGGACGCAATTTCCTGAAGTAATCTTCGTATTAACTAGCAAACTAAAGACCATGTACATCCACTGCACACATAATCTGAAATAACAACTCATATTTCTCGCATAAAATGACATCAAAACGCATTTTAATGGCCAAACTAAAAACTACTACTTAAAATAGGCATTTTCCACCGAGAATAAAACGAAGTTTGGCCATGTTTTTTTTTTCTGCAGGGAGAAATTTGAAGATCACGTGACATAGACGCCAGGGGAAAAATACAAAAGCATTGCACACAATTTAAACCAATCAATGTTGTGTAATTAACAAGGATAATCTAGTGTTTTTTAGTCGATGAGTAGTGCAGATATCACTGTAAAATCAATCGACAGTAAGGGGAATACTTACTTCCGGGTGTACAATTATCCGTTATCCAATGAGAATGGACGCTCACATTGCCTTTAAGGGCAGCCGACACAAACGAATGCCGTGCTTCCATGAGCGTCAAATCCCGCCGCAGATGGGAATACATTGCAATCAGTTGAAAGCTATTTGCGTCCCTTTATGAAGCTGAAGGAGCCTAGGAGCGTCACAACTGCACGCCACGGACACTGACCAAACGTCGCTCCTGGACGATTATGGAGTGAGAGTGTGTTGGACAGGCAGGTAGGCCATCCAATTATCTGAGCCGGGCGGCTCAGATAATTGGTCATGCTTTTTACAGCGCCACGGCTTCCACAGATGAAATATTTGTATATATTTATTGTCAAAGCATTTAATGTATTCATTGCTATTGGGATGTTAAGAGAATTCCATGGAATATAACAAAAAGTGTTTCTGAAGTGAATTAACTACCCTACCTTAAAACAATAAATGTTGCTGATGCATTATCTGAGATCACAAAAAGTCAGGCATACAATTCAGTAATAAAATGGATGAAGGCCTATGTAAAAGTTAAGTTTACGGCAATGTTTTAAGATGATAAAGACTTGTTTAAGATATGTTGATAACACAGTGTGTCAGGGAAAGATAACCATTGCCACTATAGGCCTATGTAGCCCTCAGTACGAATAATTTAAAGCATAAGGGCAATTTCACTTAATGTCTTTAAATGTTAAAGGCATTTAGCCACATAAAATATAGGCTCTGGGATGCCCGGACATTCAAAAGCTGTTATAACATAATAGTAATTCAATACGCTATAACAAATCCCCCATCCTCCAATAGAATACATTCTCTGTAGCTCTATTTGTGACGTACTTTATAATTGATTTTGTCGTCAGTTGGAGAGTTATTAGGCAATAGCTTGTAATTGCATCTAAGAACAACTTTATTCAACACATTCGTATACGACATGTGTCTTGTTTCTCACAGTTTGTAAACACATGATATCTGTGTTGTCATGCTACTGCAGCAGCTTGATATTTAAAGAATTTGCTAGATCGTCACAGCGGGCCGTGCGTCCAGGCCACAGACCGCGCTGCTGTCAGCTGCGTAGGTGATAACAGAGCCTTCACCTGACCACATATCACCGCTAAAGCTTCGACATCAATACCACAGACACCTGACAGCCTCTATTGCAGCTCGTTGCACCGAAACTATAAGGCTTTAACTTTTTATAAAGAATGTACGCAACGCTTTTCACATGCGAAAAATAGATGTACAAAATCATCGGCGTATGTAAGCCCAGTATCAACTCACCATTTTGCCTGCAGACAGTTGGTCTTTGAGTTTACAGATGTATTCCTGTCTCGGAGGACAGGCAGTCCCGGTGGTGACAGAAGAGACGCTGCTACTTCTGCGGATGTCGAGTTGTGGTGCAGAGGCTGCAACAGCAGGGGGCGCTGCGGCTCAACAACAGCAGGGACACCTTTCCATGGATGCTTGTCAGCTGCTGCGAGAAGGGTCCAGCTGCAGCCGCAGCCAGACGGTACAAAATACGGCCCCTACAAAATACGACCACTTGTACGTGACACTAATCCTAACATAAATAGTATATACATATCTAAAACGACAAGACGTTAACTACCTGTGTTTTGGGCGCGCTCTCTTCTGATCATATTTTGATGTTCAACTTCCTGCAGGTTCCTTCTCCACGGGCTTGCTGCAGCTGGGTTTTATTACTGCGGTCAAGCCAGCCGTCTTTCACTTTTGCGTGGTCAAACCAGCCGCCCCTGTATTTCGAGTGCGTGATTAGTTACAGGTTTACGGTAATGCAATAAAACAACCCTGGGAAGCTGGACGTTTCGTATGTGCAGGAACACTTCCGGTGAGGATTTCAAAGTAAAGGATGGCATGTGGGTCATTTATATTATCTGCGATTGAGGAACAGGGTAATTTATGAGAATAATGTTAGGACTTATTGCTTCATACACTTGTTGCACAAATACTATGAACTACTTTTACTGTGTACTTCTTGAGAATGGCAAAAGTCCCTCCAGAGAACAAGAAGGAGCATTTTCGTCAACTTTAATGTGGTCTAAAAAACATTTCTTCCATAAGTAGTTTTTGAAACTGCCATGTTTGTACTTAGTACTTCTAGGACTACTTGCAAAAATAATATGAACTACTTTTACTTTGTACTTTTTGAGTAATTTGAGTTTCAAAGTCTTCTCCAGAGAACAAGAATGAGCATTTGTGTCAAATTTAATGTGGGATAAAACACATTTCTTCCATGAGTAGTTTATGAAACTGCCATGTTTGTACTTAATACTTCTAGGACTACTTGCAAAAATAATATGAACTACTTTTACTGTGTACTTTTTGAGTAATTTGAGTTTCAAAGTCCCCTCCAGAGAACAAGAATGAGCATTTGTGTCAACTTTAATGTGGTCTAAAAAACATTTCTTCCATAAGTAGTTTATAAAACTGCCATGTTTGTACTTAGTACTTCTAGGACTACTTGCACAAATAATATGAACTAATTTTACTGTGTACTTTTTCAGTAATTTGAGTTTCAAAGTCCCCTCCAGAGAACAAGAATGAGCATTTGTGTCAACTTTAATGTGGTCTAAAAAACATTTATTCCATAGACATATGACACTGCCATGTTCTTCTGCCCTAGTTGCAGAGAAAGCAATTCCAATTGCTTGCCCTGGCTTCTTGGAGTTGGTCCTGATTCATCCCCAGGCACTGCTCATGGAACCATCTTTCACAGGTGTCACACTGTATCTGTAAAATGAAATGAGTGACCATCAAATCTGATACATCTTGTCATCGGAAATGATGAAGTATTGAAGTGCAATAGAGAATAATTTTGGCAAAATTAGATTCATGTCAACTTTATTACATGTATCTATAGTCTGTAGCATACTCACCTCAAACACCAGTTTAATATCTGAAAATAACTATATTATGTCTACATTTTCAGTGTTTGTCATTTTCAGTGTTTGTCAATGTTTTTTAGGTAGTTATAGGTATAAGATTTATAGTTCTGGGAAAACCCCATGTTGCATCACTATAATGTAGTTACCTTTTGGTATTCTTAATTGGTCAGTTATGTATTGCATACGAGCTGCTTCTCCCTGCTTCCCATATTTTGATAGTGACTTACAGGATGTTGGTGTGTGAAAGAGGACAACAGCAGATAACACACACAAACCTCTTTCCAAGTGGTCCGTTTTACATTAGGAGTGTTGCCTCAAGGTATAACTTGGTTTCCAGGCCTGATCTGGTAGACATGTACCGTCAGTCTCCCAGCGGCGTAGAGTGAGGTGGAGGAACCGCGGGGTGCGCTAATTCAGTGCCCCATATTGCTATTTTCCAAGCTAATGTAGCTTTGTCATATTTGTCAACGCTGCATTGAGGCTATTGTCATCATGTGGGTGGACTTAGACTCAAACCTGGGGTGAAGTTACACTTTAATTTAATATGTTGCCATTAGACATGATTAGAATTGTCAGTATCCCTATTCCACTACTCATCACATTTTATATTCTCTCTGTTCATTATATGTGTAAACAATGTATATACATTACCATTTCTCTGAGAGAAGTTGTCTTGACTGTTTTGTTAATAAATCAATTTATATCGGTTCCACAGTCATTTTGAATAGAGTTAATGTGTGTGGGCTGCAGCTGGGGCGACGCACGAGGTTGCCGTAAAAAAATTATTCGGCATGCGCCGAAAAGTAGAAATCGAAGCATGGCCCTGCAGCGTTTTCGCTGGACTGCCTGATCTGGATAGACCCAGTGACTCAACAGTTTTATAAATACATCTAATATCATAAATTGAATTTGATTATAATATGATGAAGCCCTATTATAACTACACTACGACAAATACTCACCCAATCTGTAGTGGAAGGCCCAGATCCTGGGGGCTTTGAGGCAGAGCACATTGCACAGTTGTTCTCCATGTGAAACACTGCAGGAAAAGAAAATATGTTATTTAGACATACTGTATATGTATACAGTTAACAGTTTATTGGCAGCAGAAGTGCAGTCAAATTCTATGCAGCTGTTCAGCTATAAATTATAGCTTATGAACTCTAAATGGATCATGAATGGGATCATTAACACAAGTTTAATATGTTTTTAAGGATGGATGTTTTAAAAAGAAGACTATGTACACAGTGTGAACAGAACAACATATAAGCAGACATACATAAACAATCCGTAATATTCTAAACATTACTAGGCAATGACCTGTATGCAACACATTTAAAAATGCAGGAATTTATATTTGTCACTGTTTCACTCTAAGCCCTGTTTTGTGTTCCATATTTCACCCATGCCTCCTGCCACTCTGCCTGTAAGCTTTCAATAAACCACCTATAAACTGTTCCTGGATGCCTGGTACAATCTGTATTCGTTTCCTCTTCCCTGCTCTCCTGACACAAACCGTGACAGTTTAAGTGTCAGTATTTACATTCCTTATTGCAGCAGGAAAAAAAGTTATTCTTCAACTGTTCATGTCTCAATGGAGTGTGTGTGAGAGAAATATAAGTTATGGGTTCAACTGAGATATGTATGGAATATTTGGTTTGGGCCCTGTGCTTAAAATCAATGATGCTGTAGGCTATAAATGCTGTAGTGTGTGGACTCAAAGGCAATTTTACAGGCTGTAGTTATTGTAGATTTGTTTGATTGCATTGGATTAATATAAGTTCATCATTTCCATAACAACTAACTAAGAACCATAACATAAAGCAGGACAAATGACTTACAAACCTGAACCATTGAGTATTGAAAGTGCAAACTTTCTCCTCTCACAAGCCATCTCCTTTTTGGATGTCCCAAAGGACATAATTGGTAATGCAGGAAAGGCCTCCATCACTGCTCTTGCCATCTACACACCAACACACAGAATCACACTTCTCATCTGCGCTACATTGTTTTTGCCAGTAAAATTACAACATTGAATTGATATTTCAATAAAAATGATCAAACTATTAATAACTAATAGTTGTAATGAGGTAATTAACACAACTTGAAGAATGTACATGACAAACTACATGGGTTGTGTCAACAACCAGCCCTCTTATCACTTTTACACAATTCCCCTAAAAAATAAACAGAAAATTGATAATTCAGAAACTAATGACTTATTTTTTAACATCATTGACTATTTTATACTTTAAACTTGTATAATAATCAAGACACTGAAATAAATATAAGAATATATATATATGTAGCAGAAGCATAAATATTACATATAGTAGTTAAAGTAAAAAACTACGTTACTATGGTAACAATGACCCCACAGCTACTGCCATCACGTTGAACTGGATGGTGCATGGTTGCTCCTCTCCATTTCACAGTCCCCCAGTCCTCCTTGCCATAGCAGGTCCTCCTCATCTTGAAGTATTCCCTTTGTAAAACACATTGTGGAATAGTCTCTAATGTAACTCCCAACAGACACATGTAGAATACAAATCTTTAAATATTGTGTAAAATAAAAACACTCCATCCCAACAGTATGGACACTGGAAAATAGTGTAGGTTACCTTGCTTACTGAGCTACTTCATTTAGAATTGTGTACACAGATACTAAGGGTGGGATAAGGAAATATCATTTAAAAAACAGCTGAGACCACCAAGCACAAAATAAATGCTTCAGTGGTGTGGGTTTGGGAACTTCTGTTAACATACTTATGTTTACTTAAATACAAAGCACTAAATATAATTCTAAGATCACTTTATATCTAATTTGCTGACTTACCGTACTCTTTTCGCAGCATTTTCCGAGTCTGCTTTCTCTTTGGAATTTGCCGCTGGATCCACCAAAAATACTGATCTTATAGCAGGAAATAAGTACTAAAAAAAAGGGATGTTATTTCAAAACAGCATCAAACATATATACATATTTAAATGAAAGGGATTTCTGAATGAAAACAATCACTAACCAGCAACTTCCAGTGTGTTCTTTCAATATTTACAAAGGCGATCACGGCTTGATAATCATTAAAGTTGATCTATAACAGCAATAAAAATACTTTTTTTTAAGTTTTCGTAGGAATATGATGCCTTATTTTATTAGAAATAAATCATGGTGTTTGAATTTGTATATTAAATTACAAAATAGAAAACCCAAAGTACTATAACACAGCCTCGCCTACTGATTTCAAATGTGTGCTCTAAAATGATATTTATAAATGACTATTATCATTATTATAAGCAAGACAATAAATGGCAAAGATATGTAGAAAATAAACGTATTTGAGATACGTTCATAAGAAACGTAACGTGGGAGAAAATATGTTGCTAGAAGATATAGAAAATAAACGTATTTGAGATACGTTCATAGGCAAAGCAAGTTTATTTATATAGCACTTTTCAACACAAGGCAATTCAAAGTGCTTTACAAAAATGAAAGACATTAAGAAAATGGCATTCAAAATCAGTCATTAAAAGAAAAGCTAATACAATAAACATTAAAAGAAAAAATACATGGATAAAAGTTACAGTGCAGTCTAAGATATGAATAGTTCAATTAAAAGCAGCGACAAAAAGAAAAGTCTTCAGCCTGGATTTAAAAGTAGTCAGAGTTGCAGCGGACCTGCAGGTTTCTGGGAGTTTGTTCCAGATATTTGGAGCATAATAACTGAATGCTGCTTTACCATGTTTAGTTCTGACTCTGGGGACAGAAAGCTGAAGATATTCATAAGAAACGTAACGTGGGAGAAAATGTGTTTCTAGAAGATATTTAGAAAATAAACGTATTTGAGATACGTTCATAACGAACGTAACGTGGGAGAAAATACGTTTCTAGCTAAACGTAATTGAGAATGCAGTTTAGTTCTGTGGGAACGTACTTTTTAGGAGACAGGGTTGAGCAGTCAAACATGGTGGTGGAAATAATACATTCTCTAGGAGTGACTTTGCCATTGGATTACTGAAAATAATGACAGTAAAAGTAGTTCATATTATTTTTGCAAGTAGTCATAGAAGTATTAAGTACAAACATGGCAGTTTCATAAACTACTTATGTAAGAAATGTTTTTTAGACCACATTAAAGTTGACAAAAATGCTCATTCTTGTTCTCCGGAGGGGACTTTAAAACTCAAATTACTCCAAAAATACACAGTAAAAGTAGTTCATATTATTTTTGCAAGTAGTCCTAGAAGTACTAAGTACAAACATGGCAGTTTCATAAACTACTTATGGAAGAAATGTGTTTTAGACCACATTAAAGTTGACGAAAATGCTCGTTCTTATTCTCTGGAGAGGACTTTTGCCATTCTCAAAAAGTACACAGTAAAAGTAGTTCATAGTATTTGTGCAACAAGTTTATGAAGCAATAAGTCCTAACATTATTCTCATAAATTACCCTGTTCCTCAATCGCAAATAATATAAATGAACCACATGCCATCCTTTACTTTGAAATCCTCACCGGAAGTGTTCCTCGGTGGGATTTTCTGTAGCTTTAAAGTGGTCGAATATATAATACTGCACAAACGAAACGTCCAGCTTCCCAGGGTTGTTTTTATTGCATTACCGTAAACCTGTAACTAATCGCGCACTCGAAATACAGGGGCGGCTGGTTTGACCACGCAAAAGTGAAAGACGGCTGGCTTGACCGCAGTGTATTATTGGCTGCTGCACTGAGGATACTGGATAGGGTTATGTTTATCCATTTCTGTGTGAGAAAGAATGCATTTTATGTTTTTGTTATTTTGTGTCCAAGTATTTTAATCATGGGGCCCTATAAAACCAAGACGTTTCATTTCATTAGTCAAAAGGCAGTTTTTAGTCACCAGTAGCCTACTGTCCAGAAACATAATTTTAGATGTTAGACTACTAGCGTATTTACTTTCTAAATGTTAATGTATACATTTTTTATGGTATAAACATGTTTTTTGTTATATATATTTTGAAGTAATTTGTTATCATTGAGTATAGGCATCGAATGTATACATGCATTGCACATACAATAAATATTGCCCAAAATCACAAACATGCCTATTGTAATGGTGTGTTTATGTTCATTATTTGATTGGGTAAGTCTCAGTTATCAGTTTTAACTAATTACTTGATCTTCAGAAATGTGAGTTTGAATTAAAAAAAAAATCTAAACAGTGCATTAAGAGCATATTGTTATAGTTGGAGGGGATGTTCACGTACAATGATTTATCCAGGCAAATTCCTAATTGCTAAAATGCTGATAGATTTATTGTTATTTGGTTGTATTTCCTACTTTTTCATGCTTAATATTGCTGCAGGTCAGATGGTGAATATAATCCTAGTTCAACCATCACCTTGGTTCATGTGACAGGAGTAAATGGGGGACTAGTTGTAGTAACACTATTGCTGTTGGGTTTGTCATTGGCTTTAATAAAAAGGGTAAGCAGTTTTTATTTCCTTTTGGAAAATGTGGTTCCTCGTAGACACAGCAGTGTTTGCACTGATTCAGGATGTTGTAGTTGCTTTCTACCAGCTGAGGGCAGAACAGGACAAAACATCTCAGGCTGGTTGAGAGAGTCTAAAATGGGATTTCAACTGGGAAAAAACATGTTTTATGTACAGTATAAGAACAGGCACATGTCTGTTTGCAGAGGGTAATGGGATGCTTCCTGTTAACCCCCAGTGGACAGAAAATGCTCTGAGGATAAATGCACAACAAGCAAGTTTTTTTACAACCATAGACAAATCTTTATAAAACCTAGAGAAAAAGAAAACACCAAAAGTACTTCACAAGTATGTGATTTACCTTTTAATAGCTGTGTCTCTCTTCCTTTAAAAAAAAAGAAAAAGAGGAGAGCGTGACTGTTTTTTGGTGAGTCACATCCAGAAATGTCATAAATCTATCCTTTCCCTAAATATTAAATACACCTATGAGTGAATGTAACTTGACCATCAGTCAGTCACGTGCATCCGAATACACCACATTCATGATGATACAGTATGATATCATCAGCAATCTGCAATAACACAGCAATTATCTGTACTGAGCTGTAACCTATTACTGATATCCAGAGATGTGCTTCTTAGATAATATCTGCATGTACTTTGAAACTCTATAATCTAAGATAGAACAACAATAAAGATAGCAGAGCTCCGCTGCCATGCAATTATGCTTATTACAGTATACTGACTATCTGCCATAGATAAGTGGATATAATGCAACAAATGGTAAGGTAACATAAGGTAAGGGCTAGAAACACTGAGGAAGATCACAAAGGGTTTGTAATGGGGATGCAGTGTATGAATTATTTCTGTTTCTGATCCTTCTGGCTTGTACCCTCATGAAACCATAATGCACAGGCTCCAAATTCATTTTGCTGACTTTGAACCTTTTCCTTATATATTAAAAACATATATATGAGGATTTTTTTTTAACAGTTTAGAGATTCTCAAATTGTATTTTTGTTCACCAAAAACCCTGAGCTGTCACCACAAAGTGTTGAAATCCCTTCAGAGCAGCTTCAGATAGTTAGATTTATCCACAGAATACACTAAAACATCAACATCAGAAAATATAAGAAATAAATATGTTGTTTTCATCTTTACAGTTTATGCAGAGAATGACTGGGGTTTTCGCAGTATAAAACCAGGCTTGAATCTGACCTGTTTGTTTTTGTGTGGCACGTCCTATTTTGGCTTCCTAAAAATTATGTGAAAAGTTTAAATGAAATAGTGGTGGACAAGAATCCAAAGAAAATCAAAAGAAAATATATAATGACTGTTTCCTTCAGATGATTTATTTTAACGTAAATTAGGAGGGAGAAAATAAAATGAATTTTCTTATTTATTTATTTGATATTTACTTATTTATAAGATTTTCCCGTAGAAGTGTTACAACACAACACAGTGGTGAGAGGGATGGAAGGACTGTGTTGATGAAAGTCATTCTCAAAACAAGACGACAAACCATTGATTATAGTTATTCTGTGCTGAAGGAGGTATAACAGCTCCGCCATTCAACACTTGTTCCCCAGTGTGATAATGGTTATTTATGTGTGCGTGCATGTTCATCTTGTGTTACTGCTTGATGAACATATTACGTAAGGTCTGCCCTTTATGGTGAGTATTCTTCAAAACAGTACAAAATAGATGTCCCTAATTATGGCAATAAAGATAAGAAACTGTGAGGCACGGTGAGGTCATTCTGCAACATCGTTCATCAACATTGGTAATAGATGGAACGGCACAGTGTTCTTTTACAAAGACATTAAAAAAAACTGTGAAGATTGTCGAGAAGGACCACTTCGACCATTATGGAGGAAATTGAAATTGAATTCAGTAATCAATCAATCAATCAATATTTATTTATATAGCCCAATATCACAAATGTTACATTTGTCTCAGTGGTCTTCACAGTGTGTACAGAATATCAGTATGACAATACGACACCCTCTGTCCTTAGACCCTCACATCGTACAAGGAAAAACTTCTGGAGAAAACCCACAGTTTAAAGGGAAAAATGGGAGAAACCTCAGGGAGAGCAACAGAGGAGGGATCCCTCTCCCAGGACGGACAGACGTGCAATAGATGCCGTGTGTATAATTGAAAAGATAATACATTTACAACATAGGTAGTCCAAATGTTTGGAAATGCATGTGTGTATAATAGGAAGATGAATCCACGAGGATATCCATCCAGGACCTATGATCCAGGACCACAGCCACGACTCAAGATCCAGGGCTCGCGATCCAGGACACAGGACCGCAGGATCATTCATGTGTCCGGATCCCGGCGTATATAGACACCAAAAATAAAGACATTTGGGGAAGCTGGGTTAATCGGAACATGAGAGTACACAGGTATAGACAGAGAGAAGGAAGAAGTAAGATGTCCCCCGACAAACTAAGCCTATATCAGCAAAACTAGGGGCTGAATCTAATCAGCCCTAACTATAAGCTTTATCAAAAAGGAAGGTCTTAAGCGCACTCTTAAAAACGGATAGGGTGTCTGCCGCCCGAACACAAACTGGAAGCTGATTCCACAAATGTAGAGCTTGATAAGAAAAGGCTCTGGCTCCCATTGTACTTTTAGAGACTCTAGGAACAACCAACAACCCTGCATTCTTGGAACGCAATGCCCTAATAGGACAGTAGGGTATAATGAGTTCTTTAAGGTAAGATGGCGCCTGCCCATTAAGGGCTTTGTAGGCGAGAAGAAGAATTTTAAATGATATCCTGTGTTCTATAGGGAGCCAGTGTAAGGCAGCCAGAACAGGAGTAATGTGGTCCCTTTTCCTAACTTTGGTTAGTACACGAGCTGCAGCATTTTGAATCAGCTGAAGCGACTTGACTGACTTCTTGGTACACCTTGATAATAAGGAGTTACAATAATCCAGCCTTGAAGTAACAAATGCATGGACTAGTTTCTCTGCATCGTTTTGAGGCAAGATATGCCTGATTTTTGCAATGTTACGTAGATGGAAGTAGGCGGTCCTTGAAATTGATTTTATGTGGGCGTTAAAGGATAAATCCTGATCAAATATAACACCAAGATTCCTTACAGTCTCACTGGAGGCCAAATTAATGCCATCCATAGTTAGTATATCTTTAGATAATTTGTTTCGTAGATTCTTCGGGCCAAGTACAATAACTTCAGTTTTGGTCGTGTTTAACATCAAAAAATGTAAGGTCATCCACCTTTTTAAGTCCTTAAGGCAGTCTTGAATTTTATTTAGATGATTCATTTCATCAGGCTTGATTGATAAATATAGTTGAGTATCATCCGCATAACAATGAAAGTTTACAGAATGATTCCTTATAATATTGCCTAACGGAAGCATATATAATGTGAACAAAATAGGTCCGAGCACTGAGCCCTGTGGCACTCCATGGCTAACTTTGGTTTGCATGGAAGATTCATCGTTAACACGTACAAACTGAGAGCGTTCAGATAGATAGGACCTAAACCAGCCTTAAGCAGTTCCCTGTATGCCAACTAAGTGCTCTAGTCTTTGCAATAAGATATCATGATCGATAGTATCAAATGCAGCACTGAGATCGAACAAAACAAGAATAGAGACAAGTCCCTTGTCAGAGGCTATTAGAATGTCATTTGTGACTTTAACCAGAGCTGTCTCTGTGCTATGATGTGTTCCAAAGCCAGACTGAAAATCTTCAAATAAATCATTGTTTTTTAAGTAATCACACAGCTGTTTTGCGACCGCTTTCTCAAGAATATTTGAGAGGAACGGAAGATTAGAAATAGGTCTATAGTTGGCTAAAACCTCTGGATCGAGGTTGTGCTTTTTAAGAAGAGGTTTTATCACTGCTACTTTGAATGATTGTGGAACATAGCCTGATAATAAAGACATATTCATAATATTTAATAAAGAAGTGCTAATTAATGGAAAAACTTCCTTCAACAGCTTAGTTGGAATTGGGTCTAACATGCACGTTGATGGTTTAGAAGAGAGAATCATTGAATTTAATTGTTCAAGGTTTATGGCTGACAAGCATTCTAGTTTACTATCTAGTGTAATATTAGAACTTACGTTTCCGGTAGCTGTTGATAACACTATACTGGTCAAAGGCAAGAGGTCATTAATTTTGTTTCTAAGAGTAACAATTTTATCGTTAAAAAAGCACATAAAATCATTACTACTGAGTGCTATGGGAATAGAAGGCTCAATCGAGCTGTGGCTCTCTGTCAGCCTGGCTACAGTGCTGAAAAGAAATCTTGCATTATTCTTATTCTCATCCATTAATGAAGAGTAGTAGGCTGCTCTCGCTTTACGCAGTGCAGTAAAAGTTTGGCAGACTCAGTTAGAAGTGTGGGAGGATAGTTTCCCAAAATATTATTGATTTTGTCCCTTTACAACAAGGCAGTGTTCATTGGCAAACTAAATTAATGACAATGCAACCCTAAAAACATTGAACTCAAACCACTTTTTTCAACCTCAGACTGCAGCTATATCACAGGGTACACCAACATCAAATCCAATAAACCTGGTCTTTCTGCTGACAGTGACAGATGAGATTTAAAGTGTGACTCCCTCCATCTTCTGCCTTTGAAGCCAATAAAAGAGATTATCTCAAAAGAAAATACCCTGCCCAACAACAAATTAATGTGAAACCACACAGGGAATCAAACCCTTATCTTGAGGACATCAAAGGTCACTCTCTGCTACCTGTGAGCAACTGTGAGTAATGAATCTGTCAGCCAGTCTTCCTTTTGTGGCAATTGGCTCTCTCAGTTGACTGCTAAGCAGCTGATTGGACAGTGATCGGCTGGGTCTGGGGAATACAGTTGTGTGATAAGACCTTTCGACTTTGTCCCTTGCAAAAGTCATTCTTACTAGACGTCAAAGACACATTGAGAAACGTGGTGATCTGGTTGTGTGTTTTCATTCCTGCTGGATAGTTTCACGTTCATTTCATCAGCTGCTGCTTTTATATTGGAATTATGATGCTGAATACAGGCAAGGTGAGAGACTTTAACTTGACAATTGGGTGCAGCTATTGGTTTGTTTGAAAGATAATATTTCAGTCTGATTGGTTTTAAAAAATTGTTTTAAAAGGACAGTTCTCCCAAAAATGAAAACATGGAAATGTTTCCTCTTATCTATAGTGCTATTTATCAATTAGTAGCCTATGGTTTAGGTGTGATTTGCTGAGGTATTCGCCATATAGATGTTTGTTTTCTTTTTACTCATGGAAGTAGATGGCTCTCTGCGTATGGTGCTCAAAGAAGAAGAACAAATATTAATTTCAAAACTCATCAGCAAATTGTCTTTTCCGAAATCATGTCCGGGGTACTCAAGATAAAACACAGGCCTTGTTCTGAGCAGTTTCATGTAGGAACTATTTTTTTTTCAAATGCAATACACATGAAATTGAGTGAACTGTGTTTTGCATTGAGTAACTGGGTACGGATTTATGGAATTTTTGGCCAAAGTATTTTTTTGGCACTTTGAATACCACAAGCCTAGTGTCATCTTCTTCCATTATATTTAAGAGAAGGCAGACCTTTTTTAGGCCAATATCTCCAACACTTGGCAACCAAAACACCAGACATCTAGACTGATAAACAGCACTACAGGAACGAGTCAATTGTGTATTTATAATTCAGAGGTTGAATCATCTCTTAAATAGATGTTTAATTCATATTAAGGTAAGAAGTCTTGAATTGGCCATAACTGAATATATTAGTTATTTGAAAGTAAGCAGTAAGAGCACACAGGCTATAAATACAGCTTTTCCTCAGAGAAACAATGAACACCTCCACTTCCAACACATTACTCAGAGCCTTTATTTGATTCAGGTGCACGGCGGCATTGACCTCATTGACCTGCTGCTCAGGAACACGGATGAAACCACCGGTTGTCACAGCAACCAACCATGGACTATCGAAAATAATGAAGTGAGTATGGAATCATCCTGTTGGCTACTGGGCAAACCACTCCGGAGAAAGCGTGATCCCAGCCACAAATATCATTATGAAAATATGAACATGGTCTGTATTTTCAATAAGGGCCGAGTGTTATTGAGCTCTGTTATCTGGGGAGCTCATTCAGTTTCATTATGTCTCTCTTTATGGTTGAAAACTGAGACTGGTATGAACAAAAAGGGCTGGTATGTTTACGTCGTGTCTGTGCTCATTTGTGTCAATTTGATTATCTGAATAAATAAGCTATCAAAAAGTGGTGTTGCCATGGGATGAAGCTTACATACCCTCCTCCTCCTCATCCTCCTCCTTAGACCCAGAGCCCCAGGGGAAGTTCTGCTGATGACTTCCTGGACACCCTGCTGGGGCGGAGCGACTCCTCCTCGGCTCCAGCGTCCCCCCTGTGGTCACCCTGCACCATCGACAGCGGCATCAACGAGGACGCCTCGACAGAGCACAGAGAGGGCCTTCCCCCCCACTTATGCACAGCTTTCCCAGCCTTTGACCTGTCGTCTTTCCCACAGCCTGCACTTCCAGAGAACCAGCCATCACCAAATGAAAGAAACTCGGACGTTTCCATTGATCTAGGTAAGAAAAGATCAGATCAAATGATAATTTGTATGAATACTGGTAATTAATATCAAAAGAAAGTCTGTTGAACTTGAAAATACAGTGAGCCGTGAAATAATGAGATTGTCTCAAAAGCGAGTTTAAATATCATGTGATGATAAAAACCAGGGTGAGCCAGGGCATTGGACAGACAAGAATAAATTAATTTGTGTTACTATTAAAGAATAATGAGAGCTAATTAAAGATAATAGTCTTTTCAGAGAGCAATCATTTGGTTTTCCCATTTTTGTTACTTCTTCACGTAAGGAGTTTGTCTTTTGAGAACAGCTAATTGAGAACAGCTTTTGAGAACAGCTTTTGAATGATAGTCCCCTTTCACAATGCTGAATATTGAAGCTTCAGTGCTAAAATACTTTGAAATCGACTGAATATCTGCAAATCTGGGTGTCAAAATCGACAGTGCTTTTAAATTAGATAAACAGATAAACTCTGTGGTTAAATCCAGTTTTTATCACTTGAGGCTCCTGTCCAAAATTAAACCGGTTTTATCCTTTTTAAACTTTGAGCGTGTAATTCATGCCTTTGTTTCAACTCGTTTAGATTATTGTAATGCACTTTATGCCGGCCTAAATAAGATTACGCTGGCCCGCCTGCAGCTTGTACAAAACGCTGTGGCGCGGCTGCTTACAGGAACCCGCAAGTTTGACCACATCACACCAGTTCTGGCTTCACTCCACTGGCTTCCTGTCCATTTTAGAGTCCATTTTAAGATTTTATTGTTTGTTTTTAAATCTCTTAATGGGCTGGCCCCAGAGTACATCTCCGACCTCTTACAGGTGTACACCCCCTCAAGGGCTTTGAGGTCGGCTGATCAGCTGCTGCTTGTAGTCCCAAAAACAACAAAAAAGACCAGGGGAGACCGAGCGTTCTCATCGGTAGCCCCCAGGCTCTGGAACGAGCTGCCCCCTCAGGTTAAATTGTCGCCCACTCTTGAAGTTTTTAAGTCCCGCCTAAAAACCCACCTATTTTCCCTCGCTTACCGCAGTCTGAGCTATGTCTTACCTATTTGTATGCTTTTACTGTCTGTCCATAGCCTTTATGTGCCTTGTATTTATTCTTATGTGTGCTTTTTTATCTTTTCTTATGTGTGCTTTTTATCTATTCGTGTAATATTATATTTTATTATAATGTTATGTTCATTGTGAAGCACTTTGGCAAACCCTCTGTTTTTAAACTGTGCTATATAAATAAAGTGGATTGGATTGGATTGGATTGAATAAACCAATTCAGCCCCAACACAAATATATCAAACACAGAAAAAACTGTGACACATTTTTGCAAAGAACAGCAGGCTGCAGCAATCAAAGAGTTATGATTCAAGACAAAGACAAAACCTACAAATGGTGTGCTTTGTTTGATACACATGGGGCAATTTTGTGAACCACCTGCTGTTTTACTGCTTCAATCTGCAGGCTGGGAGTCCGATGACCTTCAAGAGCAGTTTGGCATTGCACACTACCTCACTACGAGCCAAACCTCCACTCAGACTCTCACAGTGAAGGACCTGCTGCTCTCTAGCCCAGGACAGACAGTAAGCAATGTGCCCACCAGGGGAAATCTTTGTGTGTTGCATTCTCATAATATTCTGTGTGGTGTTTTAAAGGGGCCCTATTGTGCTAAATTTCAGGTTCATATTTGTATTTTGTGCCTCTACTGTGACATGTTTACCTACTTTAATGTTCAACAAGCTCTTTATTTTTATCTCATACTGCCTGTGCTGCAGCACCTCTTTTCACCCTCTGTCTGAAACCAGAGTCCAGTCTGCTCTGATTGGTTAGCTGACCGGCTCTGTTGTGATTGGTGAACAGCTTAGAGATGTCCCGCCCCTCAGCCACGTACAATGTGTTGAAGCACTAGCCAATAGAAGCGCAAGTGTAACGTAGTGATGTCACTATGTTATTGAAGTGAACAAAGGAGTTTGTGGGAGGGAAACTCCCTCTGGAGGGAACTTTGGGATTTTTTGCATGCCAAAAAACCCTATATAACACACTACATGAAACTTGAGTAGTCTCATTCCCGGTATATTTTTTATAACCAATGTAACCCTTCAAAAGTATATTGTCTTTTTGGAGAAAAATACAATTAGCCTATTTTAAAAACAACACATTTCAATACACAATTAATTAATTAATTAAGAAGTATTGTACATGCAATTTCCCTACTGTCATAACGACATTGTTTTCAGCAAGCCTATAATATACTGCAAAAAATAATTCATTAAATTCAGTTGGCTTTTGGTTTTGATGTGCTAGCTCAAGATTTAGAAAGTATCAGTGTTAATAACAAAGAAATAATAACTAACTGAACAGTTCACTGCTATTCTTTGTAATTTGACTAGAGACATGAGTAAAGAGCATCCTTTGCGCCAAATATGTTATGAACTGGTCCAGTGTTTTGTCTAGGTAAACTGTACAGAGAGTCACCTTAAGTGGTATATTCTGTCATCTGGTTCACAGGCGCTGCAATATCCCCAGCATTGCCTGCAGGAGCTTATACTAAATGAGGATGAGAAGAAGCTTCTGGCTAGAGAAGGGGTGAACTTACCCGGAAAACTGCCCCTGTCCAAGGTACATGAGCAAGAAACATACAGTACTGTATGTAGGGCAGGAATCTTTCCACATTCACTGCCTCCTCTGTTTCTGGCACACACATGCATGACTCAAAATCTGTACAATGTTTGAAAACCTCTGCCAGTTTCTCCCTGCTAAACCAGTTTCCCCTCACTTACTCGTTCGTCTTTATTCTCTCTCATCCCTATCCACCCATATGTTTCATCACCCTGACAAGTTTGAAGAGAAGATTTTGAAGAAAATCCGTCGGAAGATCCGCAACAAGTGCTCAGCTCAAGAGAGTCGGAAGAAGAAGAGGGAATATGTTGATAGTCTGGAGGGAAGGTAGGAGCCAGCTGCACTAAAGCAACATCACTTGTTTTCTCAGAATACATTGGCCTAGAAATTGAACTTTGATCTGTAATAATTTGTTGTGCTCTGTAGCACTCTATAATGAGCCTGGTTTTTCACAACATTACCAAACTGCTGCATGGATTGGATTGGAACATTTCCATGAAAAGCTTCTCAGACTTGCGGAGAAACTCAAAGCAACAGAATTTGCTGGTTGGGAATTTAAAAATAGACAAAAGCATGGCAGTAGCTGTGATGGCTGAACTAACCTGAGAGACTCAGATACTTACACAAGGTTTTTCAAAAGAAAAGGGTAATAAAGCTGTACCCAAAGTAAATGGATAACTGGGGAATTCAGCACAGAAATATCAGACTTATGTTGCCAAAAGCAAAACACAAGAGATATGGAACAATATTTTTTCTAAAGTATCCACATATATTTTTAACAGACACTATAAATGTAAATTATTCAAAGCGCACTCTGGTACAACTGAAAAGCTGTCTACTGTCCCTGCCAACAAAATTAAATGATAGCTCTAGAGTCACAAAAAGGCAGATGTTTCCAAAACAAATCACACGTGTATTATATAAAGTGTTGAATAAAACAAGTGAGAGAATATAATGAGTACAGAGGCCTGTTTGTACTAGCACATTGTTAAACGCAACTTATTTTAGTATTTATTTAAGGGAAATAGAACATGTTGTGGATTGATATATCTATAATACAAACTAACAGAAAAAGATTGTTCAGTCTTGTGAGGCCAACATATTCATACTTCTGAATATTTAAAAAACCGTAGCTCAGGGCTGACATATGAGTATTGAACAATCTCAGAATGTGTGGGTTTTCCAGCACATCAGAACAATGTACATACACAGTGCAGCTGTGAGCTTTCTTTGTCTGATGTGGGGACACTTGGACAGAAAACAACATGTAGTATAATAGCCAGCAGCACAAAAGAGGAGCTGTGCTCTGTGTTAGATTAATTGGAAGTTGAGGATGCTGCTTGGTTGCAACAGACCCCCAACAGAGGTGCAGGAGGTTTTGCCAAGAGCTCAGTAAAGTCCTCCTCCTCCTCTACCTCCTGGCAGTGAAGATCAAGTCTCGTCACAGCCAACCTCACTAAATGTGTTAAAATGTCTTTACATTTGTTAATCCTGCACATTGGCTATTTCTTCCCATCACACCTACAGAAAAACAAGGTTTCCCATGACAGTGATTCATGTCAGAAAAGTAGCGTTACCCTGAATCAATCAACATTTAGTTATAATTACATTGAAAGTCTTAGAACAGCATGTGTGTTTCTACCTTTGGTCAGACACAAATGCATATTTGCGCTGACAGCAGGGCCTCAAAGTGGCCAAACATACCTTGTGCATGTCACTTTTTAAAATCGTGTTTATTTTATAGGAGCTTTAAATATCTGATAGAGTGCCACCAACACTAATTTAAGCATGAGCTTTGTTGTCGCTGGACGTCATGAGGAGATTTTCACCCAATGAGCAGGGTCAGCATATGTTGGAAATGATGCATGCAGAGCATAACACATGGCATCATTATCAGTCGTGGTTCAGCTCAGATAACACCATAATAGAGTGTGACACACTGTGATAAACAAAGCAAGAGCAAACAGCAGAAGAAGAAAAAGGAGGGTGTTCACTAGATGACAGAATGAGGTGCGAGAAAACCCTCAGCACACGGTTATTGGCATTGGATAAACATAGAGGGGACGATCTAACATCATAACAAAAATATTCTATGTTTTTTTTATATTTATATCTCCCCTCTTCTCTGCTGTCTCTTTCTGTAGGATGTCCGCATGTAGTGCTCACAACCTCAAGCTGCAGAGAAAGATCCAGCAGTTGGAGGAGACCAACAGGTGAGTCCTCAAATCTTCTCATAAATTGTTTTGTCTGACCAACAGTCCAAATACATTTAATCTATGGTGAATTAGAAGCAAACTAAATCAGCACATTTCAAACCGTTAGCTGCTTGTCCATGTTTTATCTTTGTTTTTGCCCTTATTTCTTGAAAGCCATTGGATTTGTTTTTATGTAGCTTAATTAAATGTCTCTTTTCTGCCTTTGATGCGTTTTGGAGTATATCTTTCAGAGTTTCATTTCTAATTTTGTGCCCGGCCCTTCACTCTCCAGAAGCTGCCAACCTGCATATGAAAACGTTCAACTTCTTTTCAAACAAGACTGACTAGGCTAAGTGCACATTTTCCAGAATACAAAGCCCATCCAATTATGCAGTAAAACCTCACAGTGTTCTCTGACTTTTCTTTCTCTCCATCCTGCCAACTCATTATGCTGCTTTCTTTCTGAAGCTGGCAGAGTGCTTTATGAGTTGAAACAAAACGTGATAAGAGGTCATTTTCCTGCACTTTTCTGCCACACGCTGTTCTACTTTCAGTTTCTTTTAAGTTGCCATTGTTCCCGGACACTGAAAAAAATAAGCCTAACAAAATCCCAGAAACATGCAGGTACAACAGGTACAACTCTTACTACTTTTAAATCCAGGCTGAAGGCTTTTTAAAAAAAATTTTAAATGGATATATTCAGGCTTAGTATTTTTAGGGTTAAAGTCCCCTACGTATATTGGAGTTAAAGTCCCCTACGTATATTGGAGTTAAAGTCCCCTACGTGTGCCGTTTTGGTTTCAAGACCCTGGTTCACGGAGGACACCCACAAAGTCCTAGAAAAGACAACTTAAACTTAACTAGGCCTATGTGCATTTAAAAAAGAGGAATAGTTTCGGTGAAAACTAAAAGGTACCATGGGGTCAGATTATAATTTTCCAAAGGGGGGTTTGTTTAGCATGAAACACTGGAAATAACTAAAGGACACATTAAACAAGAAAGTAGAAAGAAAGGGAAGTGATAGAAAACTATTGCTGCTAAAAAGTTAGCAATGATAGAGAGTCAGACCTAAACATTTCAGATGTGTGTATCTCTTTTATTCATGTATCTTTGCTTTTAAATGAGTGTTTTTAAATGTCATGTCATAATATGTTTCTTCAGTCTATTAATGTCTTTCATTTTTGTAAAGTACTTTGAATTACCTTGTGTTGAAAGGTGCTATATAAATAAACTTGCCTTGCCTATTTTTCAAAAAGAAACCTGTGTCCCCTAGCGGGAAACTTGTACAAAGTTTCAATCTTCTTCCTGTGTGTATTTGCATTGCAGTGATCTGCTGGAGCAGCTCAGCCGCCTGCAGGCTCTCGTTCCTAACGGCTCCGGCAAAACACACAGAGGGACCTGCATCCTGGTGAGATATATTACTCAACATTACATTAGTTTACACCACTGACTATTTGCTCTGACGGCATAATCTGCAAAAACTAAATAGGAAGATACAAGTGAAGATATATACCGTATTATCTTTTAGACAAAACGTTATGTAGGTTATGCCTAATACGTTGTACATCTATTTAAACAACTATCAATTTTTATTTTTCCCTTGCATCCTGTAATTTCCCTCTGTCTTCTGTTTTGGTCTGCTCTCTTGCTTTATGTCCAGGTTTTGCTCCTGTCCTTCTCCCTCCTCATTCCTTCAAATCTTCAACCAGACCCCTACAGTCAACCGAGCCAAGGAGAGTACACACAAACCAAAGGTGTGTATACACTACTCTCACTTTCTCTAAAACACACACAAACACCAACTCCTCTCTGCCACATCTCTGCCCTCAGTTCCGTCCCGCAACCTGCAGTCAATGGATGAAGGGCGGGGAGTCCCTCCTGTTTCTCTCTGCTCCGTCTCCAGGGGCGTTGAGGCCCTGTGCCGAATGATGGAGAAACTTTGACGCTGAACACATCCCCCCATGATCACAAGCATGGGGAAAATCACTGATTTACACGGGACCCCCAGGGAGAAAGACAAGCAATAGAAAAGCAGACTTGCTTGCATGCGCAGCATCCAGATGAGCAGTCTGAATAATTTTCAGCGTCCATTTCCCACTGCAGAGACTGAATGAAGTGTTATGGTGCACTTGCCATCTGCTCCAAAGCACAAGTAGCTAGTTAAAAAATGTAACTGAAATTCACCCTCTCACTCAGATTGAGGTCGGCCAGGAGGTCATCTAAACATTTCTAATTCTTCATTATGCCTGGAAAATGGAGCCTAGTGGAGCATGTATTATATACATGATACTGCAAAATGTATGACATTTTAAAAAACACAATTGTGTACTATACTACTACTGTATTTGAATACTTACTTTGAATGTACGTCTTATCAGAAATGATTTGCATTTTGTAACGCTTCAGTGCAATGCTGACAAAGCACAAGAGAATTAAAAGTTTACTGAAATAAGCTCGATGAGTTCAATACACACATTAGGGGTATCAATCAATCAATCAATCAATGTTTATTTATATAGCCCAATATCACAAATGTTACATTTGTCTCAGTGGACTTCACAGTTTGTACAGAATATCAGTATGACAATACGACACCCTCTGTCCTTAGACCCTCACATCGTACAAGGAAAAACTTCCGGAGAAAACCCACAGTTTAAAGGGAAAAATGGGAGAAACCTCAGGGAGAGCAACAGAGGAGGGATCCCTCTCCCAGGACGGACAGACGTGCAATAGATGCCATGTGTAAATTGAAAAGATAATACATTTGCAACATAGGTAGTCCAAATGTTTGGAAATGCATGTGTGTATAATAGGAAGATGAATCCACGAGGATATCCATCCAGGACCTATGATCCAGGACCACAGCCACGACTCAAGATCCAGGGCTCGCGACACAGGACCGCAGGATCATCCATGACTCCGGATCCCGGCGTATATAGACACCAAAAGAAAGACATTTGGGGAAGCTGGATTAATCGGAACATGAGAGTACACAGGTATAGACAGAGAGAAGGAAGAACTAAGATGTCCCCCGACAAACTAAGCCTATATCAGCAAAACTAGGTGCTGAATCTAATCAGCCCTAACTATAAGCTTTATCAAAAAGGAAGGTCTTAAGCGCACTTTTAAAAACGGATAGGGTGTCTGCCGCCGAACACAAACTGGAAGATGATTCCACAAATGTGGAGCTTGATAAGAAAAGGCTCTGGCTCCCATTGTACTTTTAGAGACTCTAGGAACAACCAACAACCCTGCATTCTTGGAACGCAATGCCCTAATAGGACAGTAGGGTATAATGAGTTCTTTAAGGTAAGATGGCGCCTGCCCATTAAGGGCTTTGTAGTCGAGAAGAAGAATTTTAAATTATATCCTGTGTTCTATAGGGAGCCAGTGTAAGGCAGCCAGAACAGGAGTAATGTGGTCCCTTTTCCTAACTCTGGTTAGTACACGAGCTGCAGCATTTTGAATCAGCTGAAGCGACTTGACTGACTTCTTGGTACACCCTGATAATAAGGAGTTACAATAATCCAGCCTTGAAGTAACAAATGCATGGACTAGTTTCTCTGCATCGTTTTGGGGCAAGATATGCCTGATTTTTGCAATGTTACGTAGATGGAAGTAGGCGGTCCTTGAAATTGATTTTATGTGGGCGTTAAAGGATAAATCCTGATCAAATATAACACCAAGATTCCTTACAGTCTCACTGGAGGCCAAATTAATGCCATCCATAGCCTCAGAAGGGGAAAGATGACTGTTTCATATGTTGTTCATTAAAGGTTCCACAAACATTCATGCAAAGAAGCCAGAAACGTATGAAATACTGCAGTCAAGATCTGGAAAAAGTACACAGGGTGCAGGCTAAACGATGATAAACATTCAGAGGATTTTTATTTTTTAAAACGATAAAGCAATTTTGAGAAAAATCTAGCAAAAATATGTTTTTCTTTTTAAACTGTAACACTATTTTTTTTACTTTCAGTGTATATAATATAGATACTTTATATATGTACTGCAGTCTGCAGCTATGTAATACTTTCAGCATAGCAGGGGGACTTACTTAGAGAGTTAGCTCAATACATTTGTCTGTATTGCTCCAAAGAATAATAAAAAAGGTGAACACTAAATGTCCTTTGTCAGCCGAGAACCTACAAGAGAAACTGAAATTAAGGCTACGGGAGCTCTAAGTGATATTAAATGTGGTTTCTAATAAAAAATGATTAGAAAAAAGCACACAACCTTTTAGTATTCTTTCTTCTGCTGTGGTTAAAACTAATCATTTAGCACTTTAGATTGAATAAGGTCTTACATAGTCCATGCCGGCTAGTAGCCGTATACATCAAAAATAGAGGCCTACTTACTTTCCATGCTTTATATTTACCTTGACTAGAGAAAAATGTAGATGTAAAAAATAGTGTCTGGTAAAGCTTCAGCAAAATGCAAATGAGAAGCTTCACAGTGAGTCAGACTCAAACTATATCTGCATTTCCATCCATCTCAATAGGCCATAAAGAAACTCTCAACAAACTAGTTAAACTAGTTTAAAAGTTGCTCCTAATCGCTTGTGGAGCCAGACAAATAAATGTGGATGAGAACAAAAAGCTTCCAACTGTCTTGAATGGATTTCAAATCAATCAACATACAGTAGCCTACATCTTAAAATGCAAGGGAAAGATTTATGCTGCTTGAAAAATATACTCTTTCTTACAAATGGCTGACAAAAGCGGGGCGTTGTGTGAATACCTAAAGTGATTTTTAAAAAATAGTACATATCAGAAACACACATAAATATCTCTCTTTTGCTGGCACTCTCCCAAAGACGGAACAATGATTACAATAATTTCTTTTATACCTTTCTAAAAATACCATCCTGTGTAATTTACCTTAACATGCAGGAATATTGAAGGGAATATTTGGACAAAACATCAAAGAGGAGGATTAGCTTGTTCCATTCAAAATGTCAAAACAATAAACCATATGGCAAGCATAGCAAACACCTACACAAAGAAAGCACTGCGTGAATTAGGCCGACTGGTTGTTGATTTCATCGTGAGCAACAACATATCCAACAATCCATTCACCTTAGAGCAGGGGTCTCCAACCTTTCTTCATCTGAGAGCTACTTTGAAAAAATGAAAGTGGCCAAGAGCTACTTGCATCACATCGCTTACATTTATTCACATAGCACTCATCAGTTGAATTAAGCTATAGTTTTGTACACGTGTGAAATTGCAATACCTAAAGCTTATCACAAATCTTAACTTCACATCAAAGTCCAAGAAAACGACAATTTCTCACATATAATTATGGCCTAAGTACATCACTGAGAATGTACATAAATGTCCTTAATCACCACCTGACAAGCTATAGCACTTATGGTAAAATAAGTGCATTCACTCTTTTTTACAGTCAGTGAGATGAATGGCGCTGCATGGAGTCCACCATAGGTGTATGCTGAAGTGGACCCACTTAGGTTCACTCTAATAGTCATTTAATTGTTCATCAGTCAGCCTTGTTCTGTATTTAGATTTCATGACATTCATGTCAGAAAAAGCTGCTTCAAACAGGTAGAACAGAACCAAATAAAGCAGACATGTTCAGTGCTACTTGGTGAATGTTCTTATAGTTTTCTGGGTCTACAAGGCTCCAGAAATGTTCTGAGTTTTACTGAGACTTAAGCTGAACATGATTTTGGAGACGTATAACCTCCATCTCCATCTCCACAGGATTGACACTGAACAGTTCAGCCATCTTTTTCTTCTTCGTCTTGACATTCAATTATAAACCATAATAAATCAATTGTATAGGTCTAACCTCCCTATATCTGTGTGTGAAATTGCTCCATCCTCAAAAACAAAAAACTAATACTTCTGCAGTCTAGCTGCAGCTTCAACGGTCTTCTGTTAAAAAAGGGAGTATTTACAGCATTATAAAAACAAAAATAGTGCATGTGGGTGCACACTTATTCTCTGTCTTACTGTTACATAAATCCAATGAATGTATGAGATTAAGTTAGCTTCATCATATCGCAAACAGTGATTAAGTGAATAATAAAGTTTCTATCGGGTCACTATCAGCCTGTCGCTCATTATTTTCATGGATGGGGCGGGGTTTGGTGGAACGGAGAGGAGACAGTGATCGCGGAAGCTTTCCTCCTGCATTCACAAACTTTACACAAGTATTTATCAACTGAAAATAGCAAGAGGAAGAGGACATTCATACTCTGCAATCCAAGACTTGATTAAATCCACCAAAAACCTGACATGATGATAACGAGTGTTTTTCAAAAAACACAAATCCCTCCCTGTGTGTCTCTGAGCCGCAGCGACAGGGCCTGATTCAGAGCGGGTCATTCTGCTGTTGGTTCTGGACTGGTGTTGGTGGAGAAAGCAGACTGTGGTGTCGTTGGGGTGTCGCTGTGCCGCTGTCACGTCTGTTAATGACCTGACCTGTTGATCTCTGCGTCACCGGCCAATTTGATATTCGTGTAATTCTAAAATCAAAAAACGTTATTGTCCAGCCGCAGCCGCAAAATCAAGAAGCAACCTTACAACGCTATAATCGATAATCGAGCGGCGAGCTACTGAAAAGCTGCCCGCGAGCTACCGGTAGCTCGCGATCGACGTGTTGGAGAGCCCGCCTTAGAGCAAACAGAATTCAGAAAACAGACTTTTTTGGTAATGAATCAGACTGCTAAAGGGTCTTCTTCAACATCTTTTCCCTTTGAAAAAAAACAAGCCTGAATGTACGTTTTAATAAAAACAGATCAGAGAACTGGCTTTAAAACCAGTTTTATAGTTAGTGGAGTTTCATTTGTATCGACTGTAATGATCATACGACTAACCACTTGTTGTAATATTGCGCGCTCATGCAGTGCACCGTCGCGCGCCTCAGAGACTATAAAAGCATCACGGACAGTTCGATGTGGCTGCATAACGGAACACTTCAGCTTGTATGTCATATGTCAACGTTTTTTAAAGTAAAATGCTAGTAAGTTAATAAATTATGCAACTCTGAGGCTTGACTAACTACAGGACAAGGGGGGTTTATGCATCCACACCTGCGCACCAACACTGTGGAAGTAAGTGAAAGAGGAGGATAACACCGCCGCTAATACAGAGAAGCGGTCTCTTGCGCAGCAGCATGCAGAGCAACAGCAGCGCCTCCGGACCGCTGGCCGCTCTGTGCGGGGCAGAGGACGAGAGCGAGATCTCCAAACTTGTGAGCACTTCGGGAGCAGCCTCTAATCTCGCAGATTTTAACCTCTCACTGAACTGCTGGCTCCACATCCTCTCCAAGGAGTCCTCGCTGGACCTGCACGCAGACAGCGCAAACCTGGCAGTAGGTGAAGCTAAGGATTTCTTATAACTATGAATTAATAAAATACATCTATAATTTTATTTCGCACGAATCACCTCAGAAGACCATGCACAGGGTAAAAAAGTCAAGGTCACACTGAACTAATTAAAGAAATACAATGAAGTAGCATTACTACTAATTGGTGAAGTAGCTTTTTTATTCCTAAAGATAGGAGCCAAATTAGTATTTAGCCGTTGTTTATTATTTATATTATTATCATTTAGCTGGATGTGGTTAATGGAATTACCTGTGGTGTGTTGTTGAAAAAGAGCATGACTGCTCAGATATTATCTATATGCATTAGTTATTGTTTAAAAAAAATAAACATCTTAAAACTTTGACTTTAGGACCTACTCTTCTCTGGAAGGCCTCACAGCAATGAGCCAAGTTTAGCCTCTTAGCAACACCATTTATTAGAAACTTGGTTGCTAAAGAATCAGTAGAAACCAAGTTTCTATAGTATAGATACACTATAGTTATTATATATGTCAACTTACTTGACTGTACTATTTTTACAACTTCTTAAAGAAATACTGCATTTTAGTTATATTTAAAGTGAACTTAAAAGGCATATACAATCTTATTCATTATAATGTATGTATTAACTACATATTTTTGACTGTATTATGAATATATTTCACATGTTTTAATAGTTATCGGAAAAATGTATTGAAATATACTTGTTCTTAAAAAGGTACTGCATTTCTTAGTTAAATGCGTACTTATATATTCAGTCAACTTAAATATATTTCATCATATCTTTAGTAGCACTAATAGTAGGCCTACATTTAAAAATAGCAAACTTTTAGTTTAATCGCGTGCACATGGAAACAGCTACGAATATTATCCTTGCTATTGATAGAAAGTGCTGAAAGGATGCATGTTGTTTTTGATTTAATTTCCTTGTGTGAACCAAAATAAAAATGATTATATGTGTTTGTCAGGTACGAGTTGTCATCGCCTTGGTGTACCTGGTGGTGTGTGTCCTGGGGCTTGTGGGTAACCTCCTGGCTCTGTTCCTGCTCCACTCGCGCCGCTCGGGCCAACACCACTCGTCTATCGACTGCTTCGTGATGAGCCTGGCGCTGACAGACCTCCAGTTCATCCTCACCTTGCCCTTCTGGGCCGTGGACACCTTGCTGGACTTCCGCTGGCCCTTTGGCCGGGTCATGTGCAAGATCGTGAGCTCGGTCACCACCATGAACATGTACGCCAGCGTCTTCTTCCTCACCACCATGAGCGTGACCCGCTACCACTCTCTGCTCACCTCGATGAAGATGAGGAGCCCCAAGGTCGCTAATGCTCGTGCCAAGTGGGCCAGTTTAATTATTTGGGTGGTGTCACTGGTGGCTACGCTGCCTCATGCTTTCTACTCCACCACAGTCCAGGTTTGTTGCATTTACACTTAGACCGATTTAAATTGCAGCAATACAAACTTTTTGTTCAAAAGTTATCAGCCACATACAGGTGGTTCAAAAGGGCCTCCTCAACCAACTATTGGTTTTATCCTCTATTCACACGGTGTAAAGAATCACCATTAAAAGAAGGTGACCCTGACCACTAGTGACCGTATTAACAATCATTCTGTTGCCTAAACTTAACAAAGTTGTTTTTTATGTTGGAAATGTGACTGTTAATTCAAATTGAGCGTTAATGACTGAAATCACAAATGTAACTGGCTGTGTAACGTTCAAAATATGTGTTCTGTTGGAGGGAGTTAGCAAACCTGTTATGTTGTTTTTGTGTTAAAGGTGTCTACAGATGAAGAGCTGTGCTTAATGCGCTTCTCTGACTCCGACTCAGGTTACTGGGATCCTCAAGTCCTGCTTGGACTTTATCAAACACAAAAGGTTCTCCTTGGATTTGTAATTCCCTTGACCGTGATCTCTGTGTGCTACCTCCTTCTACTGAGGTTCATCCTGAGCCGACGCATCGTAGGAAGCATGGAGAGTGGGACCCTCACAGAGAGGTCAGAGTGTGAGAGAGGACGCCACCGCCGCCACCGCTCCAAAGTCACCCGCTCCGTAACAATCGTAGTTCTGTCATTCTTCAGCTGCTGGCTGCCTAACCAGGCTCTCACTCTGTGGGGGGTGCTGATCAAATTTGACTTGGTCCCCTTCAGTAAAGCCTTCTACAACGTCCAGGCCTACGCCTTCCCCCTGACTGTGTGTTTAGCTCATGCAAACAGCTGTCTCAACCCCGTGCTCTACTGCCTGATCCGAAAAGAGTATAGAGCAGGACTGAAGGAGCTCCTGCTGAGCGTGTCCCGCTCCGTCCGAAATGTTCTCAATAGGACTCTGAGAGGGAGGAGAGTGGAGGAAATCGTCATGTGATTTACTCTACATGTGGTTAATACACTTCGCTTGCTTGCTGAGCATTGAGAAAACTGATACCAACCTCATGTTTGTAAGCTTAATATGATGCTACAGCCAGCTCCGGAAACGGAGGGAGAGCTAGCTTCTAAAGGCCCACTAACTAACACATTTGGTCTCATTTGGTCACTTTACCCTTGCAAAAACGAAGCGAAAAGATGACAATCTCTCCAATTACTGTTACTGTGTATTTGTGCCTCTCTCTCTGTGAACTAATATAAGGCCACAGCTAAAATGTAGGTGCATGATTTCCAAAAGAAAGCAGCAAGCCAATTAGTGAAGTGTTCACATAACTGTGCACAAGCAGATATGCAGTGGAAAGGCCGGTTTCCCAGTTTAAAGCTAAACTAATGAGGTGACCAGTGAGCTTTCAAGGTGCTGGACAGCTGACTTCATTACTTTTCTACAGAACCAGGCTAGCCATTACCTCCTTTTTCTATTCTTTGTTCTTAGAACACTCCAGTGCAAAGGCACATCTCCCAAGATGTCAAACTGTTGTGTGCCAAATTGACTTTGGTGCCATTTTTTAATCATGTTGCCGTGTGACACTATTGTGTCATTATTTTACATTTGCACAGAAACCTGAACAGCAGGGTTAGGGTTAGAGTTAGGGTTAGTTCATTATTTCCGTTTTCCCACTTTGGAACTGATCTCCTTGATGACAACTACAATCTTGGAAACGATCAAACCCCTGATTGAGCCCACTCTTAGTGACAATGGCAGCAAACAAAATACCATGTGTTGTTTGAAAAATGTTAACCTGTAAAGTTATTTTTTTACTTTGCATCTCAGACGCCTACATATGCCATCATTAGGACGGTTTGTTCATTTTCACTATTGATGTGTTTAATATTTGTGTAATTGTTGCTAAGTCAATAAGGACACTACAGTTAAAGCATGAACCTGTCGTCTTTCGTGTCTCTCTGCCTTGCCGTGCCACCGTGAGTCGTTTTGTAACTGCCCAGATGTAATGTGACATTAAATAAAATGAGAGGACAAAAGAGTCGAGTGACGTCTCTGGAAAGTTAATCTCGTCTGAAGTCAAAACAGCCTCAAAATGTGAAAACAAGGAAAATTAGTCACACACACAAAAGCAACCCTGCATCTTTGCCCTTTTGCAACCTTTAAAGTCTGAACAAGGATAACCATCTTCAGCTGACAAATAAAACACACACACACACGTCTCTCCCTGGACTGCTCTGCTGGTGCTAACAAAGTCAACATATCACCTGGGAACCAGCTGTCATTCACAACAAGCATTCGTCTGAAAGTCATCACAGTTTTCTTGTTTAAATTGCTGCACTGCATTGTGGTTTGCCGTGTTGTGAAAAGAAAAGCGCATGCATCAACAAAAGACTCCAAACTCAGTACAAATTATAAAATAAACCAATACTAAACTTGTAAGGATTGAGCAGGATATTACAGTATGTGCTGTTGATTATCACTAACTGTACACAATCTGAATTGGAGGATGTTTTTGCAGTGGAAAGGCCAATGCCATGTCAAGGTCTTAAACAATCCTCACTGAGAGGATGCTGGTGAAAGCTCAACCACTTTGCACAGGCTCATCATGCAGACTGTGACAGAGACGGTGACTCAGCTGCTACTCTCACTTAGTATGAACGCTTTCAACTAGAACTTGCAGCCGTAATGTAAAAGATGGCAGTTTCGTTTATTTAGTCAACTGTTCAATTAATGATGTCCTTTTCCATACTATCACACTGACATTCCAAATTCTCAGGACATGACTACATACAAATGCTCACAGATATTCTATGGAGGAACGGGAACTAAAAGTCCTTTTTTAAATCCGATGTTGTAAAAGGGGGGCAAGCTTAGCTTAAAATGTTTTAACGCAAACAAGACCATTTCTCTATATGAGTTGCGTTATAACACCAATGATTTAATATAAAGCCTTCTTTCTTCTTACTTTTATTGTCAATGCAATAAGTCCTTTATTTATTCATTTAAAACGATTTTTAATAATACTAAGATAATTGATACTAACTATATATTGCCGGCAAAAACACGTGTACACATTGTAATGCACATTTTGTTGCAGGAAGGACAAGCTGGAAGAACAAAACATGCTTCTGTGATGCATCTTTGAAAAGTTGTTAGCGCAGTCATGTTCCTCTTTCAAGAAGGCCAAAATGTCCATAAGACAATTTTCCAAAATGAGTCCTTGACGATAAAATGGTCAATCCGACTTTAACTGACTTTAACATTTTCAAAATGTCTTCAATCAAGACAAAGAGCAAGATTGTGGTGAACTTTGCTCCACTCAGCGGTAACAGCTCAATGTAAAGTCTCTCTGGACATTTTACTTCCCATTTAAGAGGACGGAATGTTTTTTTTTGTCTTTGCACCCAAGCCAACTAGAATTCAGGTTTTTGAGCATAAGTGCTCGAGCTCGCTCATAATGTCCCTTCTGCCTCATACCTTCTTTATAATGTTTTTTCCTATACTCTCTCCAATTCAACATCAGTCTTCAAGTTATGAACAAAATCTTTCTTATATCAGCTGAATATGATGCCTTTCACCAGAAAGGATATGATGACAATTATTTACCCCCCAAGGGAAATATAAGGACCAATTAAGTGAATGTGGTTCTCATTTGAAATACCACACCTTTGGCCTTGATTACTTTCTTCCTCAGGGACAATCATAACTGAACAAGGAGCAGTTGTAAATAGATTGAAAACAACCATTTTAAAATAACACAGGCCTTAAAAAAAGATTCAAGTACTCCGCACTCTGGTTTCTGATTCACTGAATACTTTGTCTCTAACAACATAGAAGCATGAATTCAACCCAGTCGTCCTGCAGCAGACAGATCTGACATCTTTGGCCCCAGCTATTGTTCTCACTGGCCTTAAAGCATCGAAACAAGTGCAATTGAAAGTCTCTCAGGCAGCATGAAGCTGCCTCCTGGTCATGTCAAATGTTAAATTAAATAATCCTGCTTTTGGACATATTTAGCCCTTTGAAACTGAGGAGGCATTTAATTCTGGAAAAATAACAAATCTTTGGTGCAGGGGTTTCTACTCCCTTTGTGCCGACCTCAGGCTTGCTGTCATTGAGTCCTTGTGTCCATTACAGCACAGGGTTAGGAAGTACAGCACAGACTGTGGATCTTCCCAAAAAGATCACAGAACCCTGATATAGTTTATCTGACCGAGGTCCTTCTTACTGAGTTCAGATGGATTAGAAGATGAAAGAACAGTCTGTTGAGTGCTATATAGTTTCCAAATCTAACGAGGGAGCCTGTGGACATGAACATTTCAGAAGTCGTTTGAGGCTGTGCTTTAGACCTGTGCCTCACCATTATTCTGTGTTCAGCTCATTAGAGTACATGGCTTTGAGGCACTCATCCCTCAGATATGTGTAATCATTTATTCCCTGTCCTTTGAACTGATCAGGTAGCACAGTTTAAGAGACTTATTTCTCCGGCCGAATCTCCTGCTCCCAATCTGTGGCATTAGAGGCCATGAACACGGTGCATTATCCTGCTGGTGGTATCCAAGTAAACTCTCGCCTTACAACCCTATTTGAAGCACACAGTCATCAACAATACTCAGGTATAGCATTAAAACCATGCTCAATTTTCATTAATGGGCATAAGTTGTACATAGAGTTAAAGAAGTAACCCCAACAATATTGAACTGTTGAAGCAAGCTTAAAATAGATCCATGTTGTGAAAAATGATTGCTCCTCACACATACATGCCTTTTTCCCCCAATCATTCACTATTCAGTTTTAATGAGCCTCAGCCTCAGTTCCCTGCTGTGAGCCTGCTGAGACCTGTCCACTGTGATGTGATGCACATTCAGACCGGCTCTTCTGCGTAACACTGTTGTAACACTGTTATTTGAATTACTGTCGCTTGTAAAAAATCCTTTGTATCAAACTATATTACAGCACATTAGTATTCACGCAGAATCCCGTCAGGATGTGTTTGTTCCGCTGCCTTTAAAGTTTCATATTGAGTCTATAGGCACGTTTACTGTATATGCACATGAATGCAAAAGCTGCCATGAAAATGTTTAAGTCAAAGCCCTATTACATATGCATGCCCCAGGTTTGATGAACGCTTTGTAAAAAGTCAAAGTTCAGCCTGGCCAACACACAGACATATCTTCAGTTAAATCCTCATTGCTATCACCGGTAACGTAGGACAGGCGCGTTATTTTGTGAAAGAAAACATACAGAGACATCCCATTATAGCAGTTAGCAGAGATGGCTCCACTGCTGTGAGGATTTTGAAGTTTAAAGATTTGAAGATTTTACACCTTCGTAGTGTCACACTAACTCCACCGGCAGATCAGTTTCTGCAGATTTTCTCCCTCAGCAACACACATGCTAATTGAGAAGTAGATTAGTCTAAGGCTTGCAAGTTTATAGAAGCTCAGGTTTGAAAACGCACATATATATATATATATATATATATATATATACACATTCATCTCAGATGTCTGTCAGTATAGTATGGTGAAGCTGACACAAAGCAACTTGATGTACAGACAGAGACATGAAGATAAGGGTGGTGATTTGGACGGTGTAAGGACTCATTCACAGAGCAGGTCATTAGACTCCATGCGTGCGTTTAAGTTTAAGCTGTTGTGTTTGCTGTTGATTATATATTTGTCTTTTACATCTGGTGAGACAAAGTGCCTTAATGGACTGATGCATATTCAGCACCAGACATGCATGTTTACTGCAGTGATCATCTACAACACAAACACCTGTGGCCCATTGTACTGTCGTAGCTTCTTATATGAATGATTTTGAAAAAAGGAAACTTTTGTTTTTCTGGTATTTGGGTTGAAAGGAACAGAAGGATGTCTGATATTCTTCCCATGGACATTGGCTCTGAGGAGACAGTGAGTTTGATTATCATGTCCCGTCACAATGCAGGAAAGGATAACGGAATCGTATAACTACCCAGGTGTATAGAAGTGTACCTCTGATGATGATTGGGTTTTATAACATACACTCATTATCTCAAATGAACAAATGCACACCATCTGAATTTCCTTTAAAACGTTGGTTTACAACTGCAACTAGTCCACTTTTGTTTGCCAGAACACAACAAACAGCCAATATACACAAAGGGTTATACAGCAGGATCGGTACAACTTTACAATGAGACTACCTGGCAGGGTTTACCACACATAGGCTATACTTGGGCGGGCCGCCCAGGTATATTAACGGCCGCCCAAGTATATTTCGCGACCCATTTAGTTTTTTTTAAAAATTATTTTTATTTTTATTTGTATTCGTCCGTGCCCACGACGCCATCTGCGATCGATTAACTTGTGGACAATGATCCCTCGCTCTACGCCTCCTGTACCCAGTCCAGGACTGGCCATCGGGAGGACCGGGGGGTTTCCCGATGGCCTGGCCTGTTAAGTGGCCTGCCTCACACAGGGTGACTGGCTGTCTACATGATGTGGCCGACATGGCCACTGTCATACAGATCATAAATCAAAGCCCTTGATTGGTCTCTGTGTGTCATTCAAGCTCGGGATAACCTCAGCTCAGGTGAGGTAAAGGACTCTCTTGAGTGTTTAGATAGTTAACTTAGTCTAAGTTCTCAGTGGGTCTCAAGCAGTTTGGTCACCATTTATGTAAACACATATTTCCATTTGAGAAGGTAGTGATTAGTAAAATATGCATGAATAAAAAGTTAACTAATAACTAGGTGAAAAAAGGTAAGATACACTTTTAAAACTTGTTGCGAGCTAAAACTAGTCTTTGCTGCTGCCTCAAAGAGAAGCAGGGGGGAGAGGAGGGAGAGGCTGATTCAGGAGCAAAGACACACTCACAACTATAAATGAACCAAAAATAAAAGTTTCAGTGTCTTTTCATATTGGAAATGGTATGTTATTGGTTATGTCCATGATTTTATGATTATTGAAATGTATACAGTTCTGTTTCATATAGGTGTTTCCATAGATCTAGTCTCTTTATTTTCCCCTCAAAG